TTCTTAGGCTTTGTAAGATCAGTCAGCTTTGGCGAACATCTTTAATTGAGTTGCTCCAGAAATGAATCCGTTACATCTAATCATTACTTTCTGAATGTTTCACTGAAGTCCATCTAACGGTTCATGAGATATTTTGCTAACAGACAGGAACAGGCAAAAACATTATTACTCACATTCACATTTGGCAGCAGGTAAAAATATACTTGACAGCGAGGTTGGGTGATATTGGCACAAAAAAAAAGAATCACGATTAATTGTGGTATTTAGATAARGATTAATATGACGATTAATCCCCTGGATGCCCTCATATCTTGGTCACATGACCAATTTAAATCACTCTAATGGGAAATATTTGCTCTCTGAAAAATCTGTTCCAAACTGTGTCAAAAGTACTGACTTTAGGCTTTACATCAGTTTAATTGTGTTGATAGTACAAGTAAAACCGGAGTTATGATAAATAAATATACAGAACTTTTTAAAAATGTTTGTTGTATTTGAAGCAGAGAGGAGCACTGAGCAGACTGACCGGGGAAATCTGCCTGATGCCATTAATCCTATTAATCATGTGCCAAAAAACAGTTTAAAGTTGCTGATGATTAACTGCACATACCATTTTGCCCAACCCTAATTGTTATGCAGACTTTGTCTTGTACATAGCAATTATAGCCAAATAGTGATGCAAAAAGTAAACAAATAATTTAATTACAGGCAAGAAAAGCAAACAAATGAGAAACTGATGAACCCTCCTTCAATCCTGAGTATCAACAGCACAGATTGTTTAAATCTGCATAATGCACATAATGTAAATTCAAATCAACATACTCATGTTCTTTGGTTAAAATACTCGTATATTACTTTGAATTTACTCAACTCAGTTAAARGGAACCAGGTAATATAATATGGTTAAGTAAATCCAACATTTTATTTTTACAGTGAAGTTGCTCAGGATGGTTTTATAAATTCTACCAAGTTCAGGAAGATAAACTTCAGCAGCTCTTTAATCCCAAACATCAGGAGGAACAAATCAGCTGTAATCCTCAGACAAGATGAAACGACAAGGAAATTAATTTCACTCGGAAACAAAACAAAACAAAACAAAACAGCTGGTACAAAATCCACTCCTGGAAACATGAAAACATGTTTCTATTTCCTTCACACATAGTCAGTGTTTTTTTTTTTCCTTTTACTGATTTGAGTTTTTGAATAAATCAAGTGTTTGATTGTTGCTGTTTATTCAGCACAAAGCGAATAAAAGATGTCAAATTCAGCCAAGTCTTTTACCCTTTCCTCGCTGAACGAAGACCTCTAATGCAGGGGTCCCCAAATTTTTTCCTGTAAGGGCCACATAACTTTTCCCTACTCTGGTGGGGTGCCGGAGTCAGTTTGTAACAGAAAAAGTGTGACTATTGCAGGAGTGCCTAAATGTAAAAATMTATTGTTTTCCAGAAAGCACAACCAAATAACCCTCTCTGGGTTGTTCACAGTATGTATTCTGTATTCACAGTATGTATTCCATCCTAACCGGATGGAGGACGGTTGGAAACTGGCGTATATCGTAAGCCCACCCACACAGACCAATATTTGCGTTTTGACTCCCACCACCCACTGGAACACAAGTTAGGAGTGATCAGGACTCTGTACCACAGAGCAGACAGTGTCKCTACAAACCCAGGAGCCAGGCAGAAAGAGAAATCACACACACGACAGGCCCTGGAGCAGTGTGGTTATCCTGACTGGGCTTTCCTGAAAGCAAACAGGAAACACAGACAGGATTCCATGCAACCTTCAGGTGAAAATGAAGACCCCAAACCCAGACCCAAACCAGTGGTTATTCCGTATGTTGCGGGTGTTTCGGAGAAACTGAGACATTTATTTTCTAAACATGATGTCCCAGTAGCTTTCAAACCCCAAAACACATTACGGCAAAGGCTGGTTCACCCCAAAGATCCGGTGCCCCGGCACAAACAGAGCAATGTTGTATATGCTGTTAAGTGCCAGGAGGACTGCGACCAGTTATACATCGGGGAAARAAAGCAGCCACTGTTCAAAAGAATGTCCCAACACAGACGAGCTACATCTAATGGCCAGAACTCTGCAGTTTTCACTCATTTACAGGCCAGCGGTCACTCTTTCAGAGATGAGGATGTTCTCATTCTTGATAGAGAGGAACGTTGGTTTGAGAGAGGAGTAAAAGAAGACATTTTTGTGAAGAAAGACCGTCCATCATTAAACAGAGGTGGAGGCCTCCATTTTCAGTTGTCCCCCTCCTACAGCGCAGCTATTGCCAGTATCACTCCACCCCCTGTTAACAATAGGTGTTAATTAGGTGTCAACGATAGCCATGTGAGGTGAMTATCAGTCACATGGAGGCAGGGCTTAAAAGCCTGAATTTAGCCTGAAACTCTCAGACTGAAGAAGTCTCTTGGAGGAGAGACGAAACGTTTCATTAGAGAAGAACCCGTCCAGAYGACCTATACAATTTTTTTCTTTTTGATTTTTTACCTGGATTACTGAGATGCATCAGGACGATATTCTGCTGAGCTAACAGTCCACTTTTTAGCTTTGAGAGTTTGTTTGCTCGCATTTGGCCTTGCAAGCTATCATACTTGTCTTTGTGACGGGATTCATAGTGTCGCCGCAGATTGTATTCTTTGAATATCGCTACCGCCTCTTTACAGATGAACAAAAAAAATAATGGTTTGTCCACTGCAGCTTAAATGTCCTGCATTCTGAATCAATTTTTTCTCTGACCTAATCTTTTCGCCATTATTCCATTCTCTCTTTGAGAGAGGCGGGTTTAGGATTTTTTTCTGGGGGGTTGCCAGATAGGGGCACAGACCGCAGAAGGGTGGAACAGAATGTCACGTTATATGRGTGTATGTATGAAATAGTTACTAACTAATAATAGTTAATAATGAAAACAGTTCATAACTAAGGAACATTTTATTGCAAAAGTCCAACTTTATAATCAAATATAAATACACATATATGAAAAAAAAAAAAACTAAATTCTCTCTGGTATTGTTCTGGGGGCCGGACCAAATGGGGAGGCGGGCCGGATCCGGCCCACGGGCCGTAGTTTGGGGACCACTGCTCTAATGGATCGGACAAATCTATTTGAAATGCTTTGCTCGTTTTTTTTTTTTTTCAAAAACAGCATAATTAATTTGAATTTATGCCTTTTATCTAACAAGCCTATCTGCGACATCAATAGCTAATTTCATACATGAGAAATTTCACACCCCGACAGCCCGTTTGTCCCTCAGTCTGTGTGCAGTGAGGATGAGGAGGAGGCAGAGTGGGCCGCAGCCTCCCTGCAGGGTCCTGACTGAAGGTGGCACTCTGAGACCCGCCCCAGCAGCGCCTGGCCCTGCAGCGCCTGGCCCTGCAGCGCCTGGCCCTGCAGCGCCTGGCCCTGCCGGATCCACAGAGACAGACCCACACGCTGCACGTCAGCTGTAATCCTCATTATGCAAATGAGCTCCTGCTGAGCTGGGAGTCATCATTAGAGGTCAGATGGGAGAAGGCAGAGTGAGGCAGAATCATGWCGGCTAAAAGAAAAAAACCCAGAGAAAATAAAAAAAAAAGACTTAAAGCACAGAGGAATGCATGTCGCCCACCGCCTGTCGTGAGTTTCAGACTGAGATCATCTTGTGATGAGGAATGAAGGAGCTGCAGCTGCTTTGGTCAAACCTTAAAAACACTTCATGTGATCTTGTGATCAGGGGGTGCTCAGAGCACGTGTTGGAGATGACTCTCAGCTACTTCCACATGGAAATGAATCTCAGTGTCGGTAAACGTCAATGAGGTATATTTAATACTCTAAAAAGAAAAACCTGTTAATCTGGTAAGTCCTCAGCATTGTTTACATCATTTGAATGGCCCCATCCCTTTAAGTAGACTGTTTCAAGATGGCGTCGCACTTAGCACATCTTGGCCCCAGCCTCTTGACGGGGGTAGCCTCTCTAGTGTAAATACCTCATTGGTAAAAGTCATTCAGGTGTCGCCATTTTTGTGTCAATTCAGAGGAGGCATCCTTCAAAGTTTAAATTAGCTGTTGGGGCATCGMATTGACCTCCTCTTCAGGTTTTAGACGCCTCATTTCAGTGTAGCAGCATCTTAAATCAATAATTTATTTCGTATTAACCCTACGATGGAGGACCYGTCCAGAAAGCTAGCGCTCTATCGCTCGAATGTGCCGACAAGAGGGAGAAAAAAAATCCCAGTTTACACATTTCAAAATAAAGCACAAGAGATTTTTTTTGTGGGCTTTTGTCATCTATTAATAGCTTGAAGRTTTTATTTTGAAGGTGAATCTTAACTTTCCTGTGTTGTTTAGCTGAAAGGTCCTAGCTTGTTTTATCAGAAAGTTATCAGCCTTTAGCCATTAATTTCTATTGATATTGAACACGTGTTTATTGTGATATATATCGTTACTGAATCATCGCACATCCCCTGAACTGGGATTCACTCTGTGTCTCTTTCCTGTCCCCCCAAACCTAGCCGGTTCTGTCCTGGGCCTGGTTCTGGTTCTGCTGGAGGTTTCTTCCTGTACAACAGGAGTTTTTCCTCTCCACTGTCACCAACGTGCTGCTCAGGATGAGAGACTGTGATGAAGTGATTCAACACAAACTGCTGGTTTCTTTAGATTATTTTTGTACAGAGCTCTGAGACGACAATTATTGTGTCTTGGTGCTAAATAAATAAACTGAATGACAGTCATGTTGATTGTCAGGTGACCGTCACTTTGAATTAGAGAGTTGTAGATGTACCTCTGACGATTACATCCTGACAGTTTCATTAAAATCCGTTCATGATATTTTGCTAATACAGACGAATGAACATCACACAAACCATCCTCTCAGCACAGGGAGGAAGAGGATGCTGCTCTCGCGGAGTGAGGATGAAGGACTCAAAGTCCGACCTCGTGGGAGGAGCAGAATAAAGTCCGGTGACTGACATCCACATCCAGATGTTGGGCGGCAGATTACAGAGTCTCTAGAAAAAGACTCGCGTCATCGAACAGCTGGCTGGATTTATGCTGCGAGTTTAAAAAGCTTTGAACTGAAGCAAAGAGCAGAAACCAGGAGGAATCCATTCAGCAGGACCACCGAGGCTGCTTTCATCGGACCTCCACACCAAAGCTTCAGCGCAGCAGCAGAAAGACTCAGAATCAAACAATTCATCAAGTAAAAGCTGCTCGTTTTGTTTCTCTTACGATGATTAACGTGTCTCTGAATATCAAATGTATGACCAGACCCCACGTGTGTGTTTACCTACAGAAACACAGWGTTAGGTCAGAGTGGTGCCGTCCACAAAGAGCTGTTTGAAGTGAAGAATCACGTTTATACTCAGATTTCTGGATTAAAGCATGCAGATAAAAGTGGACATTTTTATTCTTCTTTTTCACGTTTATATAAAGTGTTTTTTGTCTCAATTCCTTCTTATTGTAACTCCACAAGCCCCGCCCCTTTTCTGAGCTAAGTCTCAGATCAACTCGTTTTGAGGCTGTCTCTTTGAATCCAAACCAGGCGCTCCACACCCCACRCCCTCCAGCTTCCAGACCGGTTCGTTCTAGTTTGACAGAGGGGGGTTGTGGTTATATAGCTGTGCAGAAACTTTTTATTTACAAATGGATTAAAAGCTGTCAACGAGGAAAGACTTGTCCATCCAGCCTGACATGTTGGGAGTCAGAGAACGAAGACCACCAAACTGTGGTCCAGACTATGGCTGTGTATTGGCAAGAATTTGGCGATACGATACATATCATGACAGAGGGGTCACGATACGATATATCCCAATATATTGCGATACTATAAGCAAGGCGATATATTGTGATGTTTTTGTCAAAAATTCTATTAAATAAAAACCTCTTATTGAAAAAAAAAGAAAAACCAAAATTCGTTGTCTCAGAAAATTCTAACATCACATAGACATACTTTTGATACATTTAGCTGTGTTCTGCTTTGTATGTGTTTTATTTTATTTGTTTCATATTTCTTATTTCATCCATGTTTTCAATTATTAGACTAAATTTGACAATAGTTTGAAAATATTTTTTTTGCAGCCTTTAGGCTTTAATATTAATTTACAATTTGGTCACCCACCACTGAACCATAGCCTCTACCTCAAGAGGTAGAGTAGCCAAATGGCTGGCTCACTGCTGCCAACTAGTGGTCAGAGGCTGAACTACAACATAAAAATGAACGGCTGGCAGGAAAGTTGACATTTTAAACCTTAATAAAAAAKATCGATACAGGGCTTTAGAATATCGATACAGTATCGTGAAACGAAATATTGCGATATTTCGGTGTATCGATATTTTCTTACACCCCTAGTCCAGACCTTATTTGTGGTCCAGACCTTACTTGTAGATATGTGACAAAATGTTAAAACATTCCCAAATTGTGTTAAAACTCATTTTATAGGATGCAGATAAAAATCAAACGAGAAAATAATACAAACTTTGTTCAAATAAGTTGAAGTTATGTACWTTTAGAGCCAAATTTGGGCACTGACCCAATCAGATACTGTTTGTGGGCCTTCAAAATACACTTCAGGGTCTATGCTTTTTTTATGAAAGTTGCTCAGAATATAGAAAACTGTTTACACTAAAATATATTTTATCTTTCAATGAATACTATACATCTGTGGTGTGACTTTTGATGCAAATAATTTGATGTAACAGTTGAGAAAACATAACAGAAAACAGGGTTGAATATAACTCTAACAGTATTTAAAGATAAGCAGCAGCTGGAGAGACTAAATTCAACTTGTCTGCCTCCTAGAATCCAATTACACAACAAAATGTTTTTAATGGCTACACAAGTGGATTTTGCACATGTCCCCTTTAAAACGCTTTGTTTACATTGACTGCATACCTGCATTTCATAACTGCATATCAAGATATATTGGGGGAATAAACTCTATGAATTGCACCAAAACCTTTTGTAGGTTTAATTCACTTTTTATTTAAATGAGCACCTTTAAATCAGACTGCAGAAGCCCTGAGAAGAGACCCCAGAGCTCAGAGGATCAGTTTGGATCTACAGCTTGATCCTCCTCAATCATTTTTATTGCTTGTTTTCAGAAACTTCAGTCAGGTTATATCCGCAGCCCGCAGAGGAGCTGCCAGCATGAATCAAGCAGCAGCGCGTCTGTGGCGACATTTGTGCGCCAAGGTGAACCAAATAATCCAGACTTTCTGCTCGTTTACCGCCACGGAGCTAAAGAAAACGCGGGGGTGCAGGACATGAGGAGGAATCCGTGCAAAGTTTGACATAAACCGTTCCTTACCTTCGTGTCCGGAACCAGTGGCGCGTCCGAACCCACGGGCGAAGCTCCAAGGAAGCGTTTATTTAAAAAAAATAAATAACAAGAAGAAAAAAGGCAAAGGATTGGGAGTAATCTCGCTCCTTGATTCTCTGTTCGGAGACACAATCCTGCAGAACCAACAGGTTTGATCATCAAGCTCGTTCTCACTGAAGAATCTCTCCTCTCTCCGCCTCCTCCTCCCTTCACCGCTGCGCGTATTTACGCAGGCACACCTCCCGCAGGCTCCTCGGCGACCCCCCCGAACAAAACAATCGATTAATCGCGGCTTCAACTCGACCATTAGGTCGCTGCGCAGATCCCCCGGAGGTCTGAAGCCTCCGACCTGCATCAGGTGAGTCCAAAACTCACCTGAAGGGTAGGAGGAGGCTGCTGCTGGAGGAGGAGCGGCTCCTCAAGCTGCTCTGCTGCCCCCGTGTGGTCCCAGAAGGATCTGCTTTTATTTTTACAAGTTTGTCTTATTGCAAATCAAAAGAAAATTATCTTTAAAGTAAAACAGCATAAACACAAAGTTTCAGATCATTTTCATTCATCTGAAAAAGTTTGAATTCTGTAAAATAATTACTGTTTTTTTTCTGTACAAGTTAATCTTGCTGACTGCACCTTTAAATGGGTTTTATGTATTTGTACTTGACTTTGTTTATTAAAAGACTCAAACACTTCATAGAAAATCTAACCCATTTACATAATTAACATTTAAAAACACAGATTTTACATATTTTTGTATTATAACGGCTGTTTTTAGTCAACTATGAGATTATCAATGACCTGTAAATGATCAAGAAATCACATTTAGTCTCATCAACAGCTTTGAAGTTTGACTTCTTTATTTATTTTTTTTAAAGATAATTACATTTTCAGGGCATCATCATGTTAAACACGATAGAGATGTTTTTTATTTCGTAAGTTTACGTCATGTCAAACATGTGAAAACTTCATCAAAACACTTCATCACTCACCACACAGCTTCAAATCATTCATGAGTCTGTAAATGTATTTTTAGGGAAACCCAAGGCTCAAATTCTACTAAAATAAATTAATTCTAGTGCTTTTTAATACAAACTCTTTCGTTCAGTCGTCTCTTTAAGCCTGAATAATAACTTTAAATAAAATTTCCTGAAACTTTATCAATAAATATATGGTAAAATCTTTAAAGGCTAAAGTGGCACGCAAATTTAAACAATTCACTAAAAGTGCTTTAAATATAAAAAACCCTACAGAGAATAATTCAGTGCAAACAGAATTATAAGGTTTGTCTTCTATATTTAAACAGGAGCTTTAGAAAATGGTTTCTTCTAATGTGAACCCAGCAGGAAAATATCCTCACTGCTGATAAGATCAGATAATTCAAATTTAATCCTATTTAAAAGCCAAAACTCTGCAGAAGTTCCATCACAACTGCAGTTTTCTGACACCGGTCCTCATTTATGTGACGCTTCAGTTGTTTTAGAAATATTCAGTTATTATCTTTGGTTTCTAAACTCAAGTAAACAACATTTTCTAAACAATCCAAAAGTTCTGACCTGATGATAAAAACTATCAGAGCTGAAATAAAAGCAGAAACTCCAGCTGAAGGGTTTTTCAGCAGGCAATAACTGCAACCCTCCTTACCTCACTCCTAATGTTTCTATTAGGAGTGAGTTTATTTATATTTGATTATCCTAATGTTTAATTTTTAAATAATTTGTGTAACATTCCTCCGTCTTAGCTTAGGGAGAAAAATTCAGTACATCTCTTCGATTAGCACCCTGCCTTGACCCGTAGGTCCTCGTGTTAAAAAGTCACACAGGAAGCAGTGACTGGAGTGTGTCCTACGTCGCCCCCTGCTGGAGATTCCTCTCGTAGTTTTCCATGCACATGTAGACGCGCTGAGTGAAGTAGCTCTGGTCGGAAATGGCACGGAGCAGGTCGGTCTGGACCAAGGTGATGTCGTAGAGCTCGAAGGTGGAGGCTGTGCGGGAGTCAGAACCACCGGGGTCCAAGAAAACCTGACAACCCCCAAACACAGGCGGTGTGAAAATATAAGACGTTTTCTCTCAAGCTGCGCTAAAACTTTTACATTAAACATTAGAGTTAACTGTGTTTGACTGTTAACATAATATTTCATGAATCACTAAATGATTTTAAATGAAACTGTTGAATGTACCCCTAACTGATCCGATTTAAGATGATGACCGTAAAAACCCTAAAATAAATAGAACTGAGTATATTTCTTTAAGGGAGTGTTCTCAACCAGGGTTTTGAGAGCCGTAGCTCTGGGATCGACAAAATAAATTAAAATAAATGATTAAATATGTCATTAATATTTAAATATAGTGCATATATACACATGGGGATCAATACACCAGTAAAACAAACATATTTAACTAAAAATAAAACTATTAATCCCGTGACATTTAAAGGGTAGAATTATAATGGTTTAGATAAAATCCATGTTTCCTTCAGTAAAAGTGTTCGAACCTTTGGGTTAACGATGGTGTCCTCATCGTTCTGTCGAATGTTGTCATCTATGAAGATGTGCTGCACGTGTTGGTCAAAGGGGTCGATCCACATCGGCTTCCCCCCTCGGATGGAGAAGGTATTGGAAGCCCACCTGGGAATAGAAACCAGTGTGTGTAAAGATTCAGATAAAAAACAAACAGAACAAAAAAACAAAGCTAGTGTCAGAGCAGCAAGGCCCCCACATCTGTCTGCCACTCATAGCACTATACACCCAACCTGTATGGCCCCTCCTCCCACAGGAGGGCGAGCCCAACCAGGCCCCATGGGTGGACCTCAGTGATGAGCCCTTCTCCCAGGTCTGGCTCGAGGCACTTGGACTTCTGTATTGGTCAGTTTGTCCATAATCAATACATTGATCTAACATAGGAGTGTCCATAAGTGGACATGGCACCAGGACGTCCTCGAGCTGCTGATCATTGATGGACTTTGTAATTATGTTGTCTGACCTGCCGCCGTCTGTTTTGGACACTCGGGTAAAGAGTTGTTGTCAAGACAAAGCCCAGACTGTATCCAGACTAAGACAAGACCAAGACCAGAGTCAGTGTATCCGGACCATAGACTTGAATAAGATCACTAGACTGAGTCCCGCCCATACCATCCACTGGTAGCGTCTGTGACAACATGGAGGAGCAGAAACAGACCAAACAGGACAACAGCTCACAGCCTCCATAGAAACTAATAGATAAACAGCAGCTGAACCGGATCTGTTTCACAGATTATCTGTCATGTTTTTACAATAAATTAATAACTATGTTAATTTCATTCAACAATCATGTAAAACAGCAGATTTATGCCAGAAAAATATATAATTTATAAGTAACAATGATCTAAACCAGACCTGAAGTCAGCCTGTAACTTAGACTTTAGCTAGTTGAAAAYTGATGACTTCAGCTAGTAATAAAGTATATTTATTATTTATTCTTACTGTCATAAAAAATAATATTTATATTTCCCAGTCAACAGTTAGAAAATGTTCTCTGGTTATAGGATGAAACTTGTCTCTATTAGCTAACATCTTAACAAGTCAGGTTCCTCTAACAGAAACCTAAAAATACTCACATTTATAATATTATTTTACACTCTGTAGGTCTAAATATTAATCAGACATTTATAATATTATTTTACACTCTGTAGGTCTAAATATTAATCAGACATTTATAATATTATTTTACACTCTGTAGGTCTAAATATTAATCAGAGGACAAAGTAATATTTAATAGTTTGTGTTAAATTGTAGCATGATTCATCAGTGCTACACTCTGTATTTATGCTCAACAAGCTAATATCTGCTAACCAGTTCAATAAATAACAGTGATTACATGGACTTTATAAGATTATTTTAATTTTAAACTGTTACATTATGTTCTGCTCAGATCACATTGAGCTAAATAAGATCAAATCTGCTGACTTGTGTTGTAAAATGAGACGTTTTCCTGTTCATCTTCTGTTAATAAATCCATAACACAAACAGCTTTTCTGGCATTATTTAAAACATTAGATATATTATATAAACTGTAAAATATTAATAATAATTGGATTAATATTATTATTAATAGTTTTAATGATTTCTACATTGTCAGTCCTTTTTTTTCTGCTCTGTCTCCGTACAGTAATGGGAAATCCAGACTCTGGACAGTTTTGCGTTAGCTGTTAGCTTCAGCAGCCGATCACATGGTCACGTGGTTTCTGAGCACTCCAGCTGTTCTATATAAACTCCTTGGTCCAGAAAGACCAAGACCAGAAAAAAAATAAAGTAGACACTTCAGCTCTAATACATACAGTGTTCTGTACACAGGTAGCTAACACGTACAGCTAATATTGACTACCAGTAAATCTCTATGAATGTGGTTGAGTTGGAGACGTGAACATTAAAAAGTAGTCTTAAGACAAAGACTGGTCTTGAGTACTACAACACTGGTGAAGAGAGGAGCTGAGCTGTGAACTGATCACTGATCTTTAAATGCTGGTGAGATGGATCGGACATAGCCAATAGACCCAAACGTGCAGTGAGGGTTTGTTGTGAACACTCGGCAGAAGAATTGAAACTTTTATGAACAGAATTTCCAGGGAATGCCCCCGTAATCCCCGCAGAGGTCTGGGCCTCCCTACCATCCCTGTGGCCCACTCCAGAACAATCAGCAGGTTTTGGGATGAAAGAACACAAAAACCCCTTCCTGATCTGAGCTGTAGAGGATGGTACGTACCAACCAAAGTGGTCCTGGAAACCTCCCAGACCCTGCACAGAACTCATGTACTGGTACAGYCCCCTCTCTCCGTCCTGAGAGGACACTCTCTCCTCAGCCCGGCTCAGGACGGTGTTTTTTTTGCTGCAGCGGATCTTGCCTGGAGTCAAATTCACACTCAGCTGGACCGAGGGCGAGACAAAGAGTTGAGGTTAGAGCCAGAAAGTGAATCCTCTCAGAAACAAAAACAGATAAATACTGTGTTCACAGTGTTTAAAACAATAAAGATGATGTCATGCAGAAAATAAATTGCCTGATGACATTTAAATTTCAGTACCGTGGGGGAACAATGAAAAAAATATTTAAGAGTGTTGAAGAGTTTATCACAACGATGCTGGAGCTGCTGCACAGAAAAAAAAAAAACCACCTGAGAAGAACCAGAATTTGTGCAGTTGCATCATGTCCTGTGATGGACCCGCCCCTCCCCTCCCTGTGAGCAGAAACCTGACAGGAGAAAACTAACCAGGTCTGACAGATCCACATTCAGACATCTCTTTCACCCTTCCATCACGCAGCCCACCCCCTCCGACTCATCCATTACAACCACGGTTATTCTTCAAGAATCAATGCGTTCCACTCCAGCAGACTAACAAGTACCACACCCTGTGGGAGAAGAGCACGGCAAGTGCATGTATCTAAATCCTACATTTAGGTAAAAAACAGCCTGATGTTAAAGCAGCCCCAAGGTTTTCACTCAAATTTCATTAAAATATAATCGTATATAATATAGTCAGTAAAATACTCTTCTAGTAATGAAGCAAAACAAAACAGGCTCCAAATACTGGACCTATGGGATAAATCTTGTGCCAGCAGGAATTGAATTTGAGTTGCTCAGATTGAATCTGAATGTGCATCATTTGAAATCGAATGCATTGGTTTGAAAATGAATTTTATTAAATTGAAACTGAATTTAAAGTTTTGAATGTGAGTTAATTTGCTTTGAAACTGTATTTTGGTTTATTAAAAACTCAGTTTGACTACTTTCAATTTCAGTTCCAAAATTCAGATTTGTGACACACATCTCATATGTCACCTTCAGCTCGGGCAGATCGGGGAASAGCGGGTGGGCTCCGTCGCTCACCGCCCGCGACACGCCTCTCAGCACGCGAGGCAGGTCAGTGCCAAACGTGCGGAACAGGACGGCGAACTGGAAGCCTTCCCGCGTCAGGTCTCTGAGCAGCTGGAAGAAAGAAGGCAGGATCCAGTGGTACAGCCGTCCGTCCTCTCCTCGAACAGCCAGGTCTTTGTCTCCCTGCGAGACACAGAGCGAGGAAACCCCGAGCAGCGTGTTACTGACACGGTTTACAGCTGATCCCATCATTACAGCGAAAACCTGACAGAAACACACAGAACGCTGACTGTAGAAAGAGCAGCCTGCAGCTGGGTTCTGACACGTAGAGAACAAACTCATCCCAGAACAGCTGCAGTGCAGAAGTCACACACTTTTTGGGTGTATGATTTTCTTAAACAAGAATTATGTTTTGTATAGTGGTATTAATTTATATTTTCAGATCTTCCAAGGTGCCAATTATGGAACTCTCTGTGCATTTCTGCCCAAATCAAATTCTGGAAGTGGTCATTCAACTAGATCTGTTACAAAAGGACAACTGATATTACCAACTTTTAAAAACTGTTA